AAACCCGAACAACCAAAGATCCACATACAAATACCCGCGAGAACCTCAGAAAACACACATACATATATATATATATATATATATATATATATATATATATATTCAAAATTCCAATTTCATCCTGATTCCCATTTTTAAATTAAATATTAATGATTTTACTTGAGATAAATTATTCTCCTTATGTGAAATCTACATGATATGTTTCATGTGAATTTTCATGTGCTAGCTTGCCTATTAAGTTAGCAATGTAATAAAATGCTCGGCTCTCATAACAAGGGCATTTTAAGGTGAATTGCATTCATATGCCATCTATTTACAGAAAGAGTATGGGGTTTGGCAAAGCTACCTGCTGAGCAACATAATAAGATATTTGTACAAAGTACAAGTTACTGATTATTATTGTGTTTTATTTTTCTATGATTTCCTAAGAGGCATTATCAAGTCTTACAAAGGGAATATGCCTGTTTACTAAGATATTTATTAGCAAATAAAAGTATAGTATTCGTGGTTACTTCTCAGTGTGTTTGTTCACCTAAACTGTGTAATTTTAAAAAATCCTACAGATTAGAGAAACCAGCTATTTTTATTAATGCACACATTACAGATAATAAACTTAATTTTTTTATAACCAGATAATGCAACTGGCTATATATTTTTAAAAAATTAACAACATATGCACTGGATCAAAGCAAATCCAAGAACCATTGTTTCCTGTCCTGTATTATCCCACCTATTTCACATAAGGTCAGAAAATGTGAACTAATGTAGCCTACACTGCATCTGACCTTGAACTACAGATTGAAAGGCAAATTAGAGCAAAGTCTAGTTTGGCTGGGGGGGGGGTTGTCTAATCCTTCCTTGCTACTATTAACTTGGGAAATAGAGCTTAGAAGCTTGACTTTTCTCTAGTTCTTTTATAGAAAGAGATGTTATAAATCTAGCACAATCTGAAATCTTGGTATTACCTCTAAAACTAAACTGCAATTAAACTGATCAGGGCTTCCTTCTTTAATGAGTAAACCTTCCAATACAATTGGATTTGTGGAACAGTTGCCATAAGACAATTCAAGAGGAGCTGACTTTAAAGCAGCATGTTAACAATCTGCATCTTGGTTATTACTAAGAGGGAAAAAATCACATTTTCTAAGCACAAAATAATTCAAACATTTTAGAATCTTGCAAACTATCGGCAAATTGCCCATTATTACCTGGAGTGGAAGTACAAAAGCTAGAAAACACTGGTATACTTCCTATAGGAAGTCTTAAGTACTGTTTGGGCAAGGTTCTTCCAGACTCACATGAGTACAATTCATATTTATTTTATTTATTTTGTCAAGCATGTATTAGATATAAGTATAAACATGGTTAATACATGAAATGGACAGGAATAAAATGGAAACATTAGAACAGGGACTGTAGGCACGTTGGTGCACTTATGCACACCCCTTACAGACCTCTTAGGAATGGGGTGAGATCAAGTCTAAGGTTAAAGTTTTTGGGTTTGGGGAAGAAATAATTTTACCATAGTTTACCATTAGTCAATCCTCAATTTCAGCAAGAAAATTAAATTCAACAATATTCTATAAAGCAAGCAAGAATGCAATGCTGTACTTTCTTTCCTCTTTCCCAGTACAATATGCTCAGTTATTATTACAGAAGGTAAATGCCCCTGAATTATTGTGCAAATTGATGCCACACAATATGCAAAATGAGTAATAAAGGGGAATTGCAAAAGTTAAAATCAAGGAAACCAAGCTGTTAAGTCTGCAAAAAAAATATCTTTCTTCAGAAATGCATTAGCAAACAGCAGATATGGCCAAGAAACACAATCACATATTAATACAAGAACACGGATAAACCATGCTGAAAGATCAACAGGAATGATTTGGAAAGATCCCTATGCACACCGAATCAGAAACGGAGAACAGAATTATAAAATAAACGCCCATTTAAGTTCAGATGTGAATTTTTGTTGCCTTAAAACATTTTAACTCTTCAAGCCGCCAACACAATTGACAACTCTAACATACAGCAGGAAGAGGAGGGGCTGTAAAGAGGCGCGCAATATAATTTGGTAAATTAATGCTTGGAGTTAATAGAATGAATGCGGTTAATTTGTGTTATACGGATTAACAGGCAGGCAGCCAGCCAGCCAGCCGTCTTTCTCAATCACATCTCTGACACCCTCCCCTCACTCCTATGCAGACATATTGAGCTTTTAAACGTTTCATTTAAAGAAGACATTGACCAGGCGCCAAATGTGGAAGGCGGAGGGCAGACTATCGGGATTATTGTTCCTTCCCGCCGCACTTCTTCGTCACCGTTATATTCAAACTCTGGATCCATCATTCTGTATTCTTCCTGTCAGGAAAAGCCTCAGGGCGGAAGGTGAAGGCTTCTATGGCGGATCACCCCCGCTTTTTTATCTAGGCAATGGCGATGCTTGACCCCGCAAAGAACCGTCAAAAGTTCACCGCCACCCTGGACTGGAAAAGAAGCTCCGCCTCGAGGAGGGGCGTGGTTTACAGAACGGTTCTGTTTCCGAGGTAACGACGTAGGCGTCGGGGAAGTGCGGGGGGGGGGGAGAGAAGAGGGTTCTTGCTCCTTCAAGGCCCGACGGACAGCTATTGTTTGGTAGCGTTTGCTTTGGTGAGTATAGTAGAAGCGCGGATTCCTGCTTCTTTAAAAAGAGAAGGGGAGGGTGGAGGTACGTCGGGTTGAGTGCTTTTCTTGTACTTATAATTTAAAGTTATGTCGTCTTTCTATGTAAGATTAAATCGCCTGGCTTTCCACATCCCATCCCACCCCTCCTTTATTTGGACGAATCCTGGGAGAGGATTAGGTTATCTATACCAGGGGTCTCCAACCTTGGCCACTTTAAGCCTGGAGGACTTCAACTAGCTGGCTGGGGAATTCTGGGAGTTGAAGTCCTCCAGGCTTAAAGTGGCCAAGGTTGGAGACCCCTGATCTATACGAAAGAGCGGGATCGACTCACGCTAACCGGCCAGCTTCGTGGCAGAGCAAGGATTTTAAATCTGGGTTTTACCTCTTGAACCGTGTGTTGTTCTTTCAAGCGGCTCCCCGGATGCGTAGGATTTAAAGGCGCATCGTTCTCAGGCCACGCTAGGAAGGGATTCTGGATTCGGGGTCCATATATTCGAAAAGCACCAGCCTGGGAAATAGTGCTCTTGATTTACCCTTAAACAATTCTGATATCTGGGTAGAACCAGAAATGCAGCAAGTTTATTCACAGCTGGGTGTGGGGATGGAGGAATGCTACATCCTTAAATACCTGTCTTGCCTGATTAGTTGTAGATTTCATTTGAAAGAAGAAATGGCAAAACAGCATACAGACTAAATTCAGGCATAATCCACATTTGCAGTATAGCATCTAGACCTTTTTAGAGAAATGCTGAGAGGAAAAAAAAGTGTATTGGTTTTATTTGGAAATCTGTTTGCCTGCTGTTGGAAGAAATATCCTTCTGGGTTCCAAGTGGGGAAAAAGACACTGGTATCACGGAAGTTGCTTGGAAAGAAGGTTTAATGGTGGACAGGACCACATGGCTTGGAGATCTTGGGTGAAAACAATACCCAGAGGAAGTAGACTAAGTGTATTTTCTTTGTGTAGTGTTATAAATGTGTTTTTTTTTCTATGTTCATCACATCTGACTGAATATTATTCAGTTGTACCCAAAGACCCCTGTAGTCCCACTATATTTACAGATACAAAGGTTTTATAAAGCTAAACTACTGGCAATAGATGTTATAACGTAAAACTCAAATCCTTTTTAATAAGGCATGAAAGTCTTATTTGTGGGTATGATATAATTATTGGATTCACTTCTTGATCCTTGAATATTTTTAACAGTGCACTGTATAGAATGTTCTGATTTGGGTTAAACTATAAAACAAGAAACATCGATCTACTTCTCTTTTTTAACAAATAAAAAACTAGCTTCACTGCACAATGCTTTATGAATTGTAAAATCACATTTATCCATTGACAGGAATATGTTGTGCTTTAACAAGAAGATAAGTACCTAGCCTGTTTTGACCAGAAGATTTTCCAAATAAGCAGCTTATCTTGTTCCTTAGGCTAACCAACCTGCTGTGACATGATTTGCAACAATTTCTTCGCCAGGATGCTTCTGATTTAATTGTCTTAGAATCTTTGCCTTCATGTTCATCTATAGTAATTTCAATTTTAAATCTATCATCTTATCTCTGTCCAACCTTTAGAAATACACAAATTGTCTGTGCCATTCAATCAAAATTATGGGATTATTTGATAAACTGGCAAGTTGGCTTGGTCTGAAAAAGAAAGAAGTTCATGTTCTGTGCCTTGGATTAGACAACAGTGGTAAAACAACAATTATCAACAAGTTAAAACCATATAATGTAAGTAGACATTTTTAGTTTATTACCAATTCATTGTATATTGTTGAAAAACTGATATATATAACTAGAGGTATTTGTGGAAACATGGAATATTTAATACATTGCAATATTTAATTTCAAGACAAAATTTATATATACCTCTTTTAGAAGGAGTAAATTGTAAGTAAACTTTTCATTTTGTATGGTTATCTTTCCAAAAATAAATGCTAATAGGAATTGTATTTAAATTTGTAAAACTGAACTTAAAAAATATTCTTTGGACTGTAAACTTTAATCATCTCATGAATAAATAATTTCAATAACTTCAGAATTAAAAAAACATTGTGAAAGTATTAATTACTAAGATCTCAGACTCATTGGTTCAGTGTTAATATTGGCTATTTAATTTATCCTCTAAGGAAAAAATAACCAATATTAACACTGAAGCAATTAAGAACTAATAGGTCCATTTTGCTGAGGACCATTAGCAGTTTTATGACTTTTAAACTAGTGTTGCATAGTAAAGTAAGTTAATGCTATTTACTGTACATACATAGGGGCCCTAATTATACAGATAGTTGTTGACTTAACCATAATTGTGCCCAGATTTTATGTTCCTAGGTAAGAAATTTGTTAAGTGAGTTTTGCCCATTTTATGATTTTTCTTGCCACATATGTTAAGTGAATCACTGGAGTTGTTAGTAACACAGTTAAGTGAATCTGGCTTCCCCATTGAATTAGCTTGTCAGAAAGTCACAAAAGATAATTACATAACCCCGACACACTGCACATGAACCAGTTGTCAAGCATCTGAATATAAATCTGTGACCATGGGGATGTTGCAATGGGCATAAGTTGCTTTTTCAATGCTCTTGTAACTTCAAACAGACACTAAATGAACTGTTGTAAGTTGAGGACTACCTATAGGTAACTTAATGTATTTGCAGTTGATATATATGGATCAGAACTAATTATAGTAAAGATTTTGGCACAATTGTGGGTTTGGAAATGCGATTCTTATCTGTCTGCCACTTTGTATATGTATAAAAGGATTCATTTGGCCTCAAATACATTTTCCCAGAAACCTGCTGCCGGTCTTACCAATCTGCTTAATCTATATTTTCCTGTATCTTTTCAGTATTTACCAGTCACCCCCTCATCAACGCTCCCACTTTTCCTTCTCATACACAGTTACCAGTCTTTGCAGTGCTTTTTTCTTTTCCAGAAGGTCATCCCTGATTTTTTTCACAATATACCCTCCAATCAGTCACTGGTCTTCTCTAATCCCTATAGACTCCAGACTTCATTATCTGCAGTTTTATTATCCATAATTATATAGTCATAAAATATTTCTCTAGTCTTTTTAGGGTTGCCAACAGAAAGGGAGGGGGGAGCATTGTAACAGCTTGCAAAACTGAAACCGAATTCCATAAATGTTTTCAAAGTTTCTGCCGTGCAAAATTCTAACTGGAGAGCATGATTGATGACTCTTGGCTATGGACGTGTCCTATTGGAGAATATGAATTACGATATGCCCTGGGGGTGGGTGGGAAACCAGAGTCAAGGGTGACAATGAATTATGTGTCTCAGAGTCGACTATACCCAGGCAGTGCCGGCATGTTAACTCCCAATAATCTTCTTTTAAGTTTTGGAAGTTTGGTTCAAGACTCATGATTTAAATGGGGATAGCTGCCGGAATCCTGACATAAAGGGTAGAATGAAATCCCAATGAAAATTAAGTACATGTATATGTAATGTAATAATATGTGCTTGTAAGCTTTTTTTGCCTTGGTATTCCATTATGGATGTCCTTTTTAGGGATATTCAATACCACATTAATATCTTTATTTGACTTATTTTTTTAAGACAATCTAAGATTTCAGTCCTATCTTTTTAAAGAATTGTAATACTCTTGGTTAAAGTATGTATATTTGTACAATTTATATTCTGTTTCACATACTGATTGCTGTGGAATTTTATGTTTTTACTCTTCTATGCAATTAATCCAGAGCATTTTGTTTTTCTGTAGCTTAAAATATATAATAAATCATTCACACTATAATATTTTTGGATTTAAATGAGCAGTGACTTGTTTGATTATATCTCTGTAAAAGAATATTTAAGTCATGAAAGCATTCAGATAATTTATATCATTATAAATAATGATTGATTTGTTAAAGAAGCAATTTAATAACTACCAAAAACATAGAAAGTATACGTGTTCTGTATTTAAATGCAAAATACAAGAAAGTTGAGATTTACTGGTTCCTAAACATTTCAATGTTTCTTACCAGTAAATCATCTTCCAGTTAAGAAGATGAAATACTTATGTTTGACAGATCATAAATATTTTTATATATTGAAATTGGTGCATCATTCATTCTATCTTTCTCAAGTTAGGAGATTCTACAATGTACTTAGATTGCAGGAAAACACACTAATCCCTATAGGTTGTGAGGAACACAGAAAGAGTACATTAAATATTGGATCTACATCCACAGTGTTGATGACTAACATTTAGATAAGTGATTGAGACAGATCCAGTGCTTATATTCTTTACTACTTTTCTCAACTACATACTTATTTGTTTCAAAAGTGAAGGTTGTAATTGAATTATCATAAGATAAACAACAGTATCAACCCTGATGAACACCTGCTACAGAAGTTATAGGCAAATATTTAGGCTTGAAATAAATTTATTTATTTATTTATTTGATTTCCACACCACCTAATTCCAGATCAATTGTTGACAGCTCATAATAAAACATGATTAAAAAGGTGGGAACAAACAACAGAGAGCAACAAAACAAAACAAAACATAGTCAATAAAGGTTCATCCAAATTAATATAGCACCTGAACAACTCACATTATAAGATAACAGGAATAACAACATAACATTGTTGAATACTAATAGATGAAGTAAAATTAAATGTAAGGTAGTATGTATACCTTACCTTATGTATACCTTATTGGACTGAATAAAATCAAATTAAAAAGCCATTATGCAGAGTAAACATTAGGGACAAACTTAAAAGTTAAATATTTCTTTTTTATTCAAAAACATGTATTCTTTTATAGGTGTTAGTATCATTACTTGTTATACATTTTGATAATATATTTTTATTACAGCTTCAATATTATTTCAATTAAGAGCAGGGGTGGGTTTCTACCAGTTCTGTCTATCTCTGTAGAACCGGTATGTCTGCTGATGTTTTTGCCCACCCACCTGCCTGGGCTCTTACCTGACCTTTATTTCCTGCTGTTTCAACTTCAGCTGCCATGCGAGGCACAGCTGCAGTTTAAAAAGCAATTAAAAAGGGCTTTTTCAAAGGCTGCACACTGCACGCAGTGTGCTGATGACAATTTACAGGCGCGCGCCTGCAGTGTGCAAGGAAGCACATCGTAAATCATTGAACCTCGTAAATCACCAAACCGGTAGTTAAGCCAGTCAGATCTCCGCCCTGATTAAAAAAGAATATATATTACTGATTTTAAATATAAACATAATTTGTTTTTAATTCAAATTTTTTTTGCATAGGCTCAAGCTCAAGATATTGTTCCTACAATAGGATTCAGTATAGAGAAATTCAAAACATCTAGGTAGTATGCTTTTATTCCAATATTTTATAGTTTTTATACTGTATATAATTATGCATTAAATCATTAAAGAAAATGTTTCAGATGTAACATTTAAAGTGACATATTTTCGTTCTGTCATGTCCTGAAACACATAAGTAAGTCTGAATTGTTTATGTCACATGTGAAGAAAGTTTTAATGAAAAACTTTCTTTTTAATAAACCTAAATCTCTGGGAAGAAAAGTTTATTAGAAAAATGGAAAACAACCTTGATACATATATTTTCCGATAAAATCAGCATCGCTACAGTGTCTACCTGAACTTGCTTCTTGAATAAGATCTTGGATTCAAGACATGTTAAAGATGCTTTAGAGAAACTATTGGAGACAAATCATGCGGCTAGTTTAGATGTTCTTAGGCAGACCCACATTGCTTCTTCATTTCTAACACTATTCTCGTAGTTTAATAGGAAATGTTGGATAAATGAATAACTTTCTTTGCAAGCAAAACACACCCATCTGTTATGTTATGGACATGACCAGTAAATCTGAAAGATACTTTAGAGCTGGGCTCATCTTCCTGACCATATGATGATTGTCTATTAAAGCTACTGATTAGCTTTTAATAGTTAAGGTGTTGTATAAAATTATAATCTGGGAACATGTCTTTTAAAAAAAAAAAAGATGAATACTATTCAAGCAGTTTAGAAATCTGGAACTAGATGTGATACATTTCAGATTAGAAGAAACACTAAATTATATCATATAGTATATAGCCATATTTTGGATTGCAGGTTAACAAGATTACAGAGGTAGATGTTGTTCAAGGCAAATTTTGGGAGCATGGAATGGAATACAAGAGTGATGAGGAATAGTTTTCTTTTTCTAAATGTAAAGTGCACAGCACTGAGTAAGACAACAGTATGAAGATCCAATTAAGTACTTTTCTTTAATATGGATTATTCCATTGTATAAAACTGTTTTTAATTTAGTTTGATACTTATCAATAAAACTCACACATCATATTAAATCAAAGGTCAATTTTTAAAATGTGTACCAGTCAGAAAGTTATTATTACACTGAATTGGCATAATATAATTTATGCAAGATTGCAATCCAGAATGCGTCACAGATCTAATGCTCTATTTTATTGTTTCTTTACAGTTTATCATTCACTGTGTTTGATATGTCAGGTCAAGGAAGATACAGAAATCTCTGGGAACATTATTATAAGTAAGTCCATTTTTAACAATAAAACTTAGTTGTGCATTCCTCTGTTGAAGTTATTTAGTTAAAATAGTTTGCAGAGTAAAATTATAATTAAGTTTCTCTTAGTCTTGTCTGCAACATTCTCAAGCATGAACAAAGGGAAAGTATGATGAACTGGAATAATATAAATATATATAATCTGTATAAAAACCTCAAATCTGGGAATAATTGGGTAATATGTGAAAGGAAGTTAACTATCTGTTCCTGTGAAAAATATTGTTGTAGCAGCAAATACTAATTTAATACCTTTTAAAGACATAATCCTTTAAAATGCCCAAATTAAATTCCTTTTTTCTAGCAGTCCTGGCTAGTACAAGTAGTCCTGGATTTATGACCATTCATCAATTCACCATTCATTAATACTGAACGAAAGTACTCATGACTGATACCCAAAATTATGGCCATTGCACTACTCCTATGGTCACATGATCACAAACTGGGCACTTGGTAACTCATTCACTCTAACGACTGGCTGCCAAGCATCCTGCAATCATACAATTTCCATTTGCAATCTTCCCTGCTCGTTTTCCCAGAAAGTCAGTGCACTCTTCCACACTGTTCCTGATTTATGCCACACCTCCATGCATCCTCCCCAACCTTCATGGCACCCAGAGGTGGTATTCAACTGGTTCGCACCAGCTCGGATGAACCAATAGCGGTGATTTGGCATGGGACCCCTTTGGACAGCTAGTCTTCTCCTCGTCGTCCATACAGAACAAACAGGCAGAGAAAGAGGAGACCAGCCAGCCAATTCAGGGAGGCTTTCTGCACCAAAAGAGGCAGCTACTGATCTCTGGCTCTTTGCTCCAGTTCTCCAATGGTCCAGCGCCACCCTGTTTTATGTGCTGGCTACTCAGACTTGCCAGGCCCGGCACATAGAACAGGGCATGCTTTTTTTGGTGCAGCTGCTGGACTGCAGCCGCACCAAAAAAAGCACACAGCAGCTGCAAGCATCTTGCAACAAAGGGGGCAAGAAGCCCCGGGATATGTGGCCACCTGCTGACTGGCTGGGCAAGGCTGGAATAGGCGTATCTGCCAGGAGAAGGAAAAAGGCATTCTCCGGGAGGGTGGGTACTGGGCAGGTGGGCCGATGTCCCAGGACCATTTAAAGGTCGACTTTAAGAGCACCCCCATGGAAGAAGTCAAGAACTCAGAGCAAAAGTAGTGGTGGCAGGGTGACAGGCGTGTGTGTCCCTCCACGAAGAGTGTGAACAGAGGCAGACACTGCGCCTCTGAGGAAAAGAGGTGCCGAAGCCCTGGCTGTCACCTGAACTGCAGAGGGACCCATCACACACCCCTGTCACCACCGCTACATTTGCTCTCGTTCTTGGCTTCTTCCATAGGTGAGCTCTTAAAGTTGATCTTTAAGAGCTGGAAGACATTTTGTTAGATCGCCGCCACCTCATCGTTGGGAGAGGTATAGACCCTAAATACACAAGAAGTCTTGGGCAAAGTTCTCTGACTTTTAAAACACATCTACGCGGTGTCTGCCTCCTTGTGCAAGCCGGGAGCGCCTAACTGGAGCAAGAGAGAGCGAAGTTGGCTGCTATGAGGCAAGTGCCTTGGTTTCCCCTCTTGCTCCTCATAGTCACCCTGAGCTGGTGCGGTTCTTTACTTGGGCATCCAGATGGCCGGAGCAGCGCCCGCAGCAGCTGCAGGCAGCGCTGCAATGAGGTACAGTAAGATTTGGCAATACAAATTTATCTCTGTGGGGCTTCTGGCAAAAAACAAAACAAAAACCACCCCAAAAACCCTCCATTCAGCAAGCAGACTGGTCAGGCAGTCGTGATCTTTAGTTGGGCTATTCATTTTTTTTGTCAGCCCAAGGGCAGGGGGGGAGGGAAGGTATATAGGAAATCATCCTGTCTCTGCAGGTCATGTGACTGAGTGGGCATGGCCAACTCAATGTCACTCATAGCAAGGTGCTGCCGAGTTGGCCAGGCCTACCCAGTCACATGACCACCAAGCCATGCCTACCAAACAAGCCACACCCAAAGAACTGGTAGTAAAAAAATTTGAATCCCACCACTGATGGCACCCCTCACATATCTCTCTTTCCAACCTGTACGATGCTTTTCATCATGTCCTCCTTCCTCTCATGTACCCTCACACATCCTCCCCAATCCAGCCCAAAGCATTCACTTATTCCTTCCCCCACTGGCAGCAGCCATTTACCTACCTGCTGGCCTGGGACTTGTAAATTCTTCCTGGCTTCTTCTCTGATTTTGGGATTCACTTAACCATGGCAATTGGACTGCAGGGATTGCCATCATTAAGTGATGCTGTCATGCTTTATGACCACATCACATATCAACCAGAATTCTAGATCCAATTGTTATTGTAAGCCAAGGGCTTCCTGTAAAGCAACTTACAGAAATTGCAACCCATTAACTTAGGGCGGACTACAGATTGTACAGCATGGATCTTATATTTAATATATTTACAGCTGCTTAATTGTTGAATATATAGAATAAATTAATGGATACATTAAGATACAAGATATTAGTTCATCTTATAGTAAAAAATGTCTGAGTGCCTATAAAATTGTTTTTAGGTAACATGAATTAAAATTCTTTCCTTGAATAGTTACACGAAATAACATAAAATGATATATGTAATGGATTGATATGAATTATGTCTCCTTTCTCCAGTATTTAAACATTTTACATCTTGAAAACACTAAAGTTTACTGCTTAATTGTGAAAAATTAGATCAAAAGCTGCTACATTAAGCATCTAAGCTTCTATTACAATTTATATTATATATTATATTATATTATATTATATTATATTATATTATATTATATTATATTATATTATTATATTATATTATATTCATTATAAAAAGAGAAAAATTTAAAGCCTCACCACTTTGAAACTTCAAACAAAGTTGCTATTTTTGTTTTTAAAGTATATTGAGGCTATACTTGCATACTTAGAGTAAATCACTGAACTGTATAGATGTATGTAGGTACGGGATTGTCTTTTACACTTACTTTATAGTAGTTAAGCTTTCAGATTTAGCAAATTACCATATAACCTCATTTTTATGAATAACTCCTGTTACATTATTGCAGCACATCACATATTGAACATGACTGTCTCCTACTGCTTTGGGGGCAGAGAGGGCTGCTATGGAGCGGGAATGTATTAATGCTATTCTACAACTGCTGTAGTACAGTATATATTACAATTTTTCAACTGAGCTTTCTCAGACTTACTTCATTTCCCACTTTTTACAAGTTTGTAATTGCATGAATTGTTTAATGCAGCCTGGTACATGAATGGATAACAAAGTGGTATCATGGAACAAATTTGCTAAATAGTCATTCTTTTTAAAATCCACTTAATACAGATTGATTATTATCGTTGTTTACAAAAACCTGAATTTTAATGTAAATAGAAATTTTTTTCTTCCAAATCCTTGACTGTATTTGGATTACTGTATTCCTTGGAACAAAGAGCTTGCTAATGCACACTGCCCATCAGTCCAACTTGGCTTCTACTGCTAGAAGGAAAGCTAAACAATCATTTTTGAGAATTACATGAAAACTGGAATTCTGACTTGTTCTTTCCTAATAAGCCAGAATCAAAAGGTAAGAATAAATAATGGCCTTTGGTTGTGGTCTTTAAAGAAAGAAAGAAACCAGAGTTGCTGATGATCCTAAACAATTTTCAGAGGTATCTTGTTTTATTTAGTTGTTCCTATTATCAACACGATGCAAATAAGGGCAATTAAAGAGCATGTACCAATATGTGGCTTTTCTGTGCAATTCTGAAGCATAGCTTATAACACTTTTTTGCCTCATAGCTTCTTACCATCTTACTATTCAGATTTTTCACAACATGTAATTCGTGTCTTTTGTTCTTATATTATACAGAGATTGTCAGGCCATTATTTTTGTCATTGATAGCAGTGACATACTAAGAATGGTTGTGGCCAAGGAAGAACTTGACACTCTCTTGACTCATCCAGGTAAGGAATCTTTTTCAGAATAAATCAATCGCTTTTGAAATAATTCTACTTTACTTTTTTTTTCTTTGTGATTAAAATATGTGCATTATTGGTATATTTTTCATTATTATAACTATGAAATGTATTTAATTCAATATTAAAACTTCTGAAATTTATTTTATTACACATTAAATATTTTTATTAAATAAGAAATTGAGTTTAACTTGCAGTAAAAACTTCCAAAATTAGACAATTTTTTAATTGAGTATGTTCCATCAAGTCAACTCTTAACAATATATAGATAAACTTCTTTTAGGATAGCCTGTCCCCAGTTTGGTTCTTTAGATCTTTCAACATTGCACCAGTCAGTGCTATAATAAAATCCATCCCCCTTGGTGCAGGTGCTCCTCTCATCTTTCCTTACACATTTTCCAGCATTGTAGATTTACTTAACAGAACTAGGTTTTTACCTAGGGTATCTATGCATGATAATTTGAGCTGATCATTTGTGCCTCAAATGAGAATTCTGGATTTATTTGAACTTGTCTTTGTTTCTCTGTTTTGTATGGTATTATCATGATTCTACTTCAAGATCACAGTTCAAAAGCATCTAAACTTTCTATCCTGCTTCTTCAGAGCCTAAGTTTCATTTCTATAGAGCAGGGATGTCAAACTCAATCTCATTGAGAGCCACATCAGGTTGTGTTTGACCTTGGGGGCGGGGGTGGACAGGGAAGAGATGGGCAGGGCCAGCTCAACGTCACATGTGATCAAATGGCAGTTTTGTTAGTTTGTTTTGTTAACACTCTTCCAGCAGAAATGGAACTCATGAGGGCCATGGGCGGCCTTCCCAGGCTCCGTTTTCACTGGCAGATGCACCACGGGCCAGTCCTTCCAGGGCAGCCCTGTGGGCCAGATCCAAACACCTTGCAAGCCAGATACAGTCCGCAGGCCTTGAGTTTGACACCCCTCCTACAGATGATCACAGGAAAACTATTGCCTGCACAATTGTGATCTTTGTAAATTGCAGCATCTGGGTATCTACTGCTAGTTTGCAATGTATTTCTTGATAGCTGGTTTCTTTAATTTGATAGTTAATCCTGAAAAGCAGAGGCTGTCCACTACTTCAGTATCTTCATTGTCCATTCTAAGGTTAACTGCTGTACCTATTTCATTAGTTTAACATAAATCATAATGTGAACGAGCCACATAGTGTGTATCCTCCCAGTCTGATTTAACATTTCTTTTTAAAGCAATTAATCATTGCCTTCCCCATATTCTCTAATACATTTATTCTGGTTTATATGTGCTTTTTTGTTATTTAGAAAACAGTACATTAATTTCATATTTTGGAGATTTGTATTGAAAGAAGAGTTTTAAAATGTTTTTACTTAAACAACAGGATATATTGGTGCATTTAGAAATGTGTTTTCATTTGCAATAGGTTTTGTGCTTAAACATGCGAGTATAAGATTATTTAGAGATTTCTTCAGAAATAGACATTCCTAGAGCTTTCATCTTGAGGGTTGTAGTCTGTAAGGAAGATACTGACTAGTGAACAATGTATGTTTCCTATTTCTATTTAAAACAATTTTCATATATATAGTGACAATTTAACAAATGATTATGTTCTAGATCTCAAACACCGCCGAATACCAATTTTGTTTTTTGCAAACAAGATGGATCTTAGAGATGCTGTATCCTCTGTTAAAGTCTCTCATTTACTGACATTAGAGAACATCAAAGACAAGCCATGGCAGATCTGGTAAAATTCTGATTTTATAACTATAACTAAAATAATATTTAATATGAATTAAATACAGAATTACATTTTGCATTTGGATTTTGAATGTTCTGGTGTTTGTTAATGTGAATAAGCTTATGAAAGCAAATTAATTTGATTCCATTGTGCTTTAGTTTTCTTATGCATACTAGTTAATAATGTGCTATCCAATAAATACATTTACTCTCCATAATTCTTATTTTGAAAGTGTTATTTTCATTAATGATGAATATGCAAAATTTCACTGAATACAAGGTTTTGTGCAAAATGAGGAAGAGTTGATTTCTTCCATGCATACATGATCAAATACCCACTGTATTTTAAACACATATATACATATACATATGGGATGGGGTTGAAAGAGAACCTTCTATTTATATTTTTGGGTTCAATTTGTAGCTCTCTAAATTTAAATAGTTTCATTGTGGCTTACATTCAACTATAAAATTTTATTTATTTCATATGACATAACATAATGCAGCATTAATGCATAAAAATTCACAAAAACAGCTTATAAAATGTGTATTAAAATATTCATTTTAAAAACTCACAGCATGCATAATAAAATTATGAATAAAATTAAATTATGTATGAGCAGTTACTGGGATTACTAAACCTATGGCCGGATATCTAGATTGTTTAACCATTAGGCAGCAGTGTCCTGGCTTGCAATGTAGATTAGCCTCCTCGTGGTGCACCCAGGCAATGTGACTTTGTCATTGCTAAATACACATTCTAGCTGCTGGACCTCACAAGGCTTTCCCAGCAAGAAGCAGCATGAATACTGAAAACTATAGAATATTTTAATCCTCTGCTTTATCATTGCCATTTTTCTTGGCAGATGTACACAATTACAAAGCACTGGGCTGCAACTGCCCCCAAATTTGGGGGATTTGTTTGGAGCCTAGAAGCATTGTTGGAAATAAAAGAAGATATTGGCAGCTGGCTCTTTGATGCTAATTTTTTGGATTAATTTTTAAAGTGTTATTAAGATATAAAGCACAGTAGGGCAGATAACTTGGCATGCACCAGAGTAGACATGTAGAGAAAATCCAGTGTGTTAACTTCTTTAGCAGATCAGCAAGCAGGAAGTAACTTCACACTTGATACCATCGATGTTTGAAACTAGATCTTATAACTAAAAACCATTGTTTATGTGTGATTCACTTGAAGCTGATTAATTTTAAAAAGATTTCTTCAATTGCTTATCACTTACAAGAATGTGTTCTTTCAGTGCTAGTGATGCTCTTAAAGGAGAAGGATTGCAAGAAGGTGTGGACTGGCTACAAGGTATGTCTTAATTTTGCCTTCCTTGTTTTTCTTTCCACAAGCCCTCCTTTTAAAAAAATATTTTTCCATCATTTCATTTTGTTTTTTCCTGCCTATTTCTGCTATCAGATCAAATTACACAGTAAGTATCCTTACAATTATTTGGATGCTTCTTTCAATGAGACATTGTCATTCAGACAAGGTTATCTCCATTTAAAATTGTTGATTAGTATATCAGCAATAGTTTTATTTCTGTGATTAAAGTCAAAATAATATAAAAATACTCATTTCCTTTTTTAACTTAATTGTAAATAATGCAATAAAAAGAATAATGGTTTTAATTTCTGGTGTAAGTGATAGCTTTTGTTTAAAGCAGCTCAAAGTATGTATGTATGTATGTACACACACAAGGTTCTTACTATTATCACAATTTTTAAGATGTGTTTTTATTGTTTCCTTTGTTAAAGTATCTTAAAATGGATTGCAGAATGCAACACACTAAAAACATTATAAAAATCAAAAGCATTTACAAATATATAAAAACCAAAAGCAGTTAAAAAAGAAGGGAACAACAAATACTGAACCAGAAGCCATTTATAGAACTTCATTCCAAGATAATTGTTCATATTACAAATATGCTATATGTGAATTATTTCATCACTTCCAAGGCTAGCCATTCCATTAGTCCTCATAAGCTATGTACTTACTGTATTTGCCCGCGTATAAGACGACTGGGCGTATAAGACGAGCCCCCAACATTTCCACTCAAAATATAGAGTTTGTTATATACTCGCCGTATAAGATGACCCCCCAAGGGTGGGGGATGGACAGCTGCCAACTCTCTCTCTCTCTCTCTCTGTGTGCGTGTGTGTGTGTGTGGTGTGGAGAGTAATTCCGGCTATCTCTGGCCTCCGCTCGGTTTTAAAGTCGCTTGGCCGGTTCCTAAGTCGCAAGCGCGCGCTGGCCGGGAGACGCGGCGCTGGGTGGCAGCTCGGTGCCGGAGAGGCGGATCTTTCTCTCTTAAGCAGGGAGGGGAGGAGGGGACAAGAGGAGGGACGGAACGGGACGGGAGGAGGTCCCTCACCTTCTTCCACCGCCTACTGGACCCTTTCCTCCTTTTCTTCGCAAGGGGACCCTGGAAAGCAGCTCCGGAGCCGGGTGGCCCTGTCCAGCGGGGTCCCATCAGGAACTTCCCGAGGACACCCCCCCTGCCCCAAGCACAGCCCTCCCGGTCTTTCAAAGAGGGAGGGAGATGCGGGAGGAACAAATTGCCGGTCCCGCCCCACTGCCCAGAAGGAGGGGCGCCACAGTCCACCCCCACCACCTTCTCCCCCCCACTCCCCGGGCCATTACACAGCTCGGGGCTGGCTGGGCGAAGCGGCCCCGCCAGAGACCCTCCTGCTCCACCCCCACCCCACCTCCAGATTGGCCTCCGCAAGCACCCTGAGCCAGCTGGAGGGTGGGTGGGTGAGTGGGGGAGGAGAAGGAGAAAGAGAGACTCCAGATGGGCTTGAAGGGGCTTTGCAAGTTGCGGAGCTCCGCCCCCGTCGCTCTTGCACCGAGTGACAACAACGTATTTGCCGGCGTATAAGACGACCCCCCCACTTGGAGGCATGTTTTTCAGAGCAAAAAAGTCATACGCCGGCAAATACGGTAAGCAATTCAGAAAATATGATTTTGCTACTCCTGCCCTTACCTGAAGTTTGCTTGCTTTAATATTATCTACAAAGCAACAGTGTTGCTTGAACTGCCATAACAAAAGAGCAGCTAGAGGCATTTTTCTCAAAAGTAGCTTTTAGGAAGAGGCACTGGACGTCAAGTTATTTTCCTACAACAAGCAGAATATAGCAGGTAAATTACATTAAAAGATCCTTCGGCTCCTTTATATCATTGTTAAAAGAGTTAACAACAGAATAAGATATTGAAAATGAGCTTTGGCTTTGGCAATAAAAATATACACGTTTTGAAAAAGAATAATTGGACAGCAACTAACAGTTTCATATAGTTGGTTAACACATTATTCTAAAAAGTTCCAATCTTAAGTTTAAAAAAACACCACTAGATGTCAGCAAAGATTGAAAATTGAGTTGCAGAGAAACCTCATAAATAACTACAATATTTATTATATGGAAATTGAAAACTTTAGTAAATATTTTGAATTTTGAAATAATATGTCAGAACTGTCTATCAAAAATTAGGCTGCTGGACGTTTCCTGCAAGAACCACAAATATATAAACATATTTGTACATTACTCCTTAGTAGTCTAAATATTTCTGAATGGTAACAGAGGTGCAAATTATTTTATGGTATGTTATAAGAAAACTGCATTTTAATGTGAATTTTTATTTGTTTTTATCTAGATCAGATCCAAATAATGAAGACATGAAAAGCTAATATGCGAATGGAAATATTAAAGATAATTTATAGATACTGAAGGCCTTGGAGACAAAAACTTTAGGCCTGTGTGTTTTCTTGTGTTGGTTTTTATAAAAGCCTTTAAACATAAAATAGTATTTTTGCTAATAGTTCATAATGGCCATAATGTGACCAGAGATTCAGGTGAGGTCAAATAAAACAATGAAGTAATTGTATACTATTCAAAAACATTTGGTATATTTTTGTTTGATTTTTAGTTAGAACTTAGGGGAAAACATATATCTTAACAAAAATGATTACTGAAAAGCTTTGCATAGTGTCTTACATTCAAAACTTAACACTGGCCATGTCTCTTCCTGAACTAAAATTAAATGTAATAGTCTTAAGAAAGAAAGAAAAATGCTGTAAAACTTAAACTTAGTGCACTTCTTGTTGTTTTAAACGTTTTTTCCTGCAGCTGAAAAGACTACTTTTGTCACTTTTCTTCCCCATCCATTTTTTATCATCGTGTTGAATTATCTAGGCCATAGATCATGGTTTACCCTAACTCTTGTGTACAAAATAACTGCAAACCATAGTCTGAAATTTGACTATAAATCTGTTTTATATAACGAAGTATTGAGAAAGAGAATGAATAAGGGTTACGAAAAAATAGAACTAAGGTTATTTTTCCCGACAGCTGATAAAAGAAGATGACAGGTGTACAAGCACCAAGCTAGAAGTGTTTTGCTACAAGCAAAACAAGAATGGGTTTTTTCCCTGCAAAATATTCAATTTTCTCTAAGAATATTTTTTTTCTTCTGGAATAGGCTGAAATTGCAGGGAGGTTTTCACATGTCCGGAATTGTAACATTTCAAAGTATGGTATTCTGGATCATTCACTTCTGAAAAGTCACAAACTATCAACTCCTTTAGGGTAGGGAAATTGAACATTTCTAAAACACACAGTTATATTTTTCATACTTGTACTCCCATAATACTCATAGGCATCTTCCATGTCTTAGAAGACTATGTTTATGATGTAAAATAGCCCACTGCAACAGACATTTGGTATAATTTTAACTTGCAGAGATCAGCTATGTCATACAATGTTTTAGTTAAATGTAAATTGTGATTTTACAACTATTTGGATGTTTATGATGTGCTATTTATGTGCTAAATTATATTGATTTCTGTAATAGCTAAAATATTTTGATAAATAAAGTACAGAACTGACATAATGAATTCTGTATCTTTTAAGATAACAAATTTGAAATTGCTTTCATGAAATGAAGTAGTTTGAAATATTGGAGGGAGCGTTTTCCAGAGACAGGGTTTTCCTTGGGAAAAATGTAAAGCAGGCAACGCACTCCTTAAACATTGCTTCAAGATATTATCAATTATCTGGACTAATATTTTTCCCAGTTAAAAGTTGAAGGAAACAGACTTTCATTGGAGTGTGAAGGAAGCTAGCAGGACAGAACTTCCACATCTTTGGGCTATATCAAGAGAAGGAAATAGTTAGAATTTATTACTTTTTCAATTTTGGGGCTACATTAAGTCCTTGGTGATTCAGGGCAGCTTAAAAATGAGAACATGGTTAACTAGAGGAGCAAAAGTAAGCTAACTGAAGGGGACACTACAACTACCTCAATCACAAGGCCTGGGAGAACAACCACATGTTGTTCATTTCTTGACTATCACGAGGATGGAAACTGCATGAATCAACTGAATGGCTTTAAGGATAAATTTTATATTATTCGATACCTGAAAAACATAATTGAACTTTTCAACTGTCTTTATGGAAAATGACAATAATCCAATTAAAAATAATATTTTTATTTTGTAGTACAGAACTTTTCTGACCAAAGCAATTTCTATTTGATATATCCAGTTGTTAACATACATCTGCAGCTATTAACTGTATACCTCTCTGTTGTTAACATGGTAATAGACTATTGAACAATTAAGAACATAAGGTACTGGTAAGAAAATGAGCAACACAATCCACAGCTTTAGGTTGGACATCTATCATGAGTACAAAACATACAATATATGCAGTATATAAAACCTAGATTCAAAAATATATTGATGCTAATTATTAGAGTTCTGCAACTCAACCATAAAAAGGGGCATAAAAAATTAATAATGCTCATTGCATGCACAGCAGTGGTGGTATTTTACCAGTTCGGCCCGGTTCTGCTGAGCCAGTAGTGCTGATGAGCAGCAGAGACTGAACCAGTTCTCTCCAATGCTCTGCTGTTGGGCCCACCCGCCTGGGCTCCCATACTAACTTTTATTCCCTGCTTTTGAAGCGCAGCTGCTTTACACGGCACAGCAGATAGTTGCTCAGCAGCTGCTGAAGCAACAGGGAGGGCAGGTTTGCAGGAGGTGAGTTGGAAAGCCTCTGCGCCTGCACAAAGTGCGTTTGGCACGCATGCACACTCAAAGTATGCATGTGCGCAAAGCACGCCCACCAAGCCTAGCCCACTGAACCAGTGGTAAAAATGTTTGAAACACACCACTGATGGTCAGGTAAATTTTGCAATCTAAACATAGTGTGGGTAAGAGCAACAGATAGGTATATACGTATAGAAATCTAGTTGAATATTTTAGAGTCAGTTCAGGGCAGCTGAGTTCCATAGGACTTACTTCCAAATAAGTATATTAAGGCTAATTTTCTAATACTAAGAAGTCTAAAATCTGTGGAATTTACTAATAAGCTGCATACATAGTATTGTATTGTTCATAAATTAAAAGGGGAATGAAATGTTTTTTAAAATTAGTCAAAGAGAAAATCATCATGCAATTTGTTCAGAAATAAAACTTTAGTAGTTGGGACTTCTGGTTTGTTCCTCATCGGAGTGGAATCCATGATCGTGCACGGTTTCGCTCAAACTCACTTGCTGGAGGGTCCCGATCGAAACCAGAACCACCCTGGTGAGGTGGTGAAGAAGGGGGAAATCATCTGGAGGGTTGCAACTTCCCTCCCTGACAGGGAAAACCCTCCCAAAGGCAAGCTGTGCAGTGGTCCTAAAATAGCCATCACAAAGACAAAGAACACTCGGGAAACTAAGTTTTGTGCTGGAGCAGAGAAGTAGCGAGCAGAGTGTGAACCAGGCAAAGGACATCGCTTTTGACGTACCCCGGTATTAAAATAAAGGGCTATCTTGGAGGGAAGTGTGTGGAAGCGGTGACCAGAGAAAGTGAAAAAGAAATTGGATCTTATAAAATTTGGATTGGATCAATTTGGAGGAGAAAATTTAAAGGAAAATACTTTAACACAACAAAGGTTTAGAAATTAAACTGGATAACTGTTGAATTATGGGCATAATTAAAGGGCATAATTAAATGCTGAAATTGTGTTGAAAAGAAAAGAAATATTAGCTAATGATTGAAATTAGTGAACTTAATAAAAGATTATATTCAATAAAGAAAGTTAAAAGTAAAAAAGACTCAAGAGCGCCACTTGATGGTATAGGAAAACTAATTGTTATAGAACCATCCAGGAGTATGGATTGTTGAAAATAAATTCAAAAGATACTGGCTGAAATAATATACTGGACTCTGAGATTGAATATATCTATTAAAAAACAGGATTTTAAATATGAAGGAAGAGGAAAGAAAAGGAGAAAAGGAGGAGATATAATGGAGAAACTATTTGTTGATATAAGATTGGACTTACAAGAGTCAAGATTGGATTTGCAAGATATTAAGGGACATGATAAAAATTAAAATTGAAATGTGCAATTATGTACTACAGAAATTAGGATTATGAATTAATGTGAAATATATGCATTGAGAGATATGATTGATATTATTAATTTTGCCTATACTAAAATGTATGATATATTGATGCCACACTGTTAATGTATTGTTGTGCATATGCAGACTGAAATAAAAAAAATTGGAAACAAAACAAATAATTTCTTATATGAAATATAAGAATGTAAAGCTAATCCCAAAGTGTGTATTGCTACAGGGACTTTATCACAATGCTTTTGGTAAATGTTTGTTTTTACCATATACTAATAGAGAGGGAACTATCATCTAAATGATCCAAACTTTCTTACCAGAAGTAGAAGTAGGTTATTTTACTGCATGCTAGAAAGAAAAGCTATAATTATTCTAGCACAAGGTCCCTTGGACAGCTGCCAAGGCCTCAGAAGTTGAAGAGAGACAATACCTCTATATACCTATGGTACCTATCTATCTACCTAATCAATGGGAGGGCCTATTTGATGTAGTGCTTAAGGTAGTAGCCTAGACTGTGAGTTCTAGGCCTCCCTTAAGCATGAAAGCCAGTTGGGTGATTTTGGACCAGTAATTCAGCCCAACCCATTTCCCAGGGTTATTGCTACGGGGAAAATATGAGATGGGAAAATTGGTATGTATACTTCCTTGACTTGACAAAAAATGGCAGAATAAAAATGTAAAGTCCCAAGCGTCAGATAACTACTTTACTACTTTACTACTTACTATTTACCATTTTAATCTCAGAATTGCAATGTAATATTAAATTAATATATAGAATTAATCCTAGCAAGGGTATTGTGCTGGGATTGCCACTATTGATCATATAACTGATTTTAAATGTTTCATATGTTTGGAGTATAATATTTGCCAAAGACCTTCTAAGGTAATTAGGATACTACAGAAGTTGGTTTTTAAATTTCATCCCATATCCTGGAGTAATATAGACACTTGGTCCTTTGCCAAGGAGGTGCAATGGCTTGGCAGTTAAGATGCTGGGCTTGTTAGCTAGAAAGCCAAAAGCCCAGGTTCGAGACTTGAGCACCATGCAATGGGTAGGCTCCTGTCCTCACACAGCTCTGGCCAACCTAGCAGTTCAAAAGCATGCAAATGAAGGAAATAGATACCACTTTGGGTACCTATAGGTAACAGTGCTCCATGATGTCATGCTAACCACATGACCATGTAAATGTCTTCAGACAGTGCTGGCTCAATGGCCTCAAAATGTAGACGAGCACCGCCTGCAATGAGTAGGGAGTAAAATACGCAGGGAGTCTTTTACCTTACATTTGCCATGAATCTAGAAGTAGGGGCTTTCTGGAAGTTGGATCCAACTCTGCAGGATTTATTTAGTGCAGTGTTGGCGAACCTATGGCACGCATGCCACAGGTGGCACGCAGAGCCCTCTCTGTGGGCACGTGTGCCGTTGCCTCAGTTCCACTGCACATGAACACATGCCTCCCGCCAGCCAGCTGGCCTTTGGGTCTCTGCTGTGCATGCACAGGGGGCACGTGTGGGGATGTGTGCATATGTGCAGGGGCACCTTGCATTTTGGCTATGTGTGTGCACGTACACATTTTGAGCACTCAGTGCCCCAAAGGTTCACCACCACTGATTTAGTGTATGGCAAATATGTTAAAAAGCACATCACAATTATATGTTCAATGAAAAAATATGAAAATATTATACTGTCAATGCATGATGGTGTAGCATACATAAAATCTCTGGAATTTCCCTTATATGTGCTCAGAAGGTATTATTCCACAATATGTCACATTGGCTGCTACCTTTCAAAGAGAAGAGCTTTTCCATTTATAGAGTAGGCTAGTATACCTGCCCTGTTAAGTCCTAATCCTAAGGCCCCTGAACAGGCCTTACAGGATAGATTGAATCCTTTTG